TTCCTTTCACCTACCCACCATGCTTGCTCTTTTTTTTATATCAATTTAGAACCTCTCCGGGCAAATATGGCGTTTGATTGAAGTGCTGGTCACTTTTAGAAGACCAGTATAGAATGATAGACTGCTGATTATTGATAAACTGCTCTTGTAAAATTATGATTGTCCTCTTTCAAGATACAAACCTTCTTTTAATAATAAAAACTTGATTTGCCGAGACGAGACTAAGATCAACTGTATTCGGTTTCCAGCCCTATGACCGGACTTCCCATCGTACAGTCGCCGGCTGCACAGGACGTGAAAAGAGGGACTAGAAAGAAGTCAGCCATATATCCACATCGACCCAAGCCAAAAGAAACCCTTTTTGAAAAGACTCACCGAGTAATCCGTGTCCGGCACCCCTTCCCTTCCCTCAGGATTGAAAAACCTGAACTCCCTCACAAGCGTAGCAACAATCACCTCCAAATTAAGATACGCAAACTTCTCACCAATACAACGATGTCTACCGGCCCCGAACGGCAAGTACGGACTGCGCGTTCCCTTAGAGACAGCCCCATACCCATAATCCACCGTATCAGAAGAATCCTCAACCTCAACCCGACTCTCCCAGCGATGCGGATCCCACCGCAACGGATCACGGAAATACCGCTCATCCCGCGCCGTAACACCAGGCGAAGAGAGCAGCGTATGAGACGGCGGAACAACAAACTCAGTCCCAGGCACCGGCATGGGATTCTTCACTTTCCGCATAAGCGTATGAATAGACGAGTGGATACGCAGCGTCTCTTTGATCACATTGTGATGCAATGGAAGCTTATCCATATCCTTGTACTGCAGCGGCGGGAGATCAGCACCCAAATTTTTGATCTGTTCAGCATACAACTTCTCCGTCATCTCGGGCTGCGACGCGAGTCGGAGAAGGATCCAGCAACTAATCGCGGACGACGAGTGTTGGCCCGCCATCAACAATGTGATCATTATATGGGCGATCTCCTTGTCTGGGATTGGAGTCCCGTCGCGGTACACGCAGCGCATCAGGTTCGAGATCATGTCTGTGCCTTTGGCTTTGTCCCTGCCGTTGACGTTGTCTTCTTCGCCGGCTTCCCGTCGCGCTTGGATGATGTCCAGATAGATCTCGCGCATACGTCCGTGTGCTCTATCGCGCTTGCGATTGTGAGGCAGTGGTGCCCAGGGGAGCATGAAGTTTATTGGGGTGAAGCCTAGGTCGAGGTCGTGGAAGAGCTCGGCGAACTCGGAGGTTAGCTTGGAGCGTACTTCTTCGCCTTGGAGGGTGCGGGCTGCTGTGAAGACGGTTATCTCGGCCATGGCGGCGGCGAGGTCGACGGTGCCGGATTGACCTTTGAAGTTTGGGGATGATTTTATGTAGGCGCTTGTTTCGTCGGCGATTAGGGGGACGTATGATTCTAGGGCTTCTTGGCTTAGCCCGTATTTGACGAACTGGTTCGAAAAGATTGGGTATTAGCTCTGAGTATGGGAGGTGTAATGAGTGATCAGAAGGATATATACCTTCTTTTGCTCCATGAGTTTGGAGTTGGGACAGTCGTAGACAACATCAGATCCGAAGACGGGTGTTGTAAGCTTGCCGTAGACTTCTTCGGCGTTGACGTCCTTCAACTTTCCATTGAGGATAAACTCATTGCCTTCAATGCCGAGGTAGACAGTTGTTTTCTTGCCTAGAAGTATGAATGTGAAGATGTCGCCGTACTAGGTGTGTTCGTTAGTAGGTGTCGTCCTTCACTTTGGAAGTATCAAGGGCTGCAATATATACACACTTTGGCACGAGAAGCGAAGAAGAACTGGTATGGATCCATGCCATAGGCAACTGTACTTCCAATGAAAGGAACCCAGTGAAAGACAACAGGGGGCTCTTTTCTGTTGTAAAAGACAAGCTGGTTGATCACATTGAGGACGATTGACACCAGAACAAGTCCGGAGGTGTAGTATGCAATGCACAGGATCTGACCTGTTACTAACGGGATGATATCCATGATAGTTTCCTTGAATATAGATTGGATAAACAAAAAATGAAGGGGTTTTGGAGTCTGGAGTCTGAATGTATGCTGCATGAGGCCATATAGTTAGGGTTTTGTAGGACAAATCAGGAGGCCAGGATTGGCGATTAATCATCCGGTCAGGCCATCCAACCCTACCCCGGAAGTCACACCAGCCGACAGCAGGAATGGCTGCCAGGGGCCACTCTTAGGCAGCTGATTTGTTTGGGATCTACAGGAAATAGTGGGCATAGTGGGCTGTGATGACCATGTAAATGTGTGGTATTGGCTACTCATATCAACATGATGGAGCAAAAGTGCAGTGCAAGAGTCAAAAGAACAGAAAAATAAATTATGTCCAACCTGATCGCTGTAATGAAAAACTATAATGCGAACGCCGAACAACCATGGAGCTAACCGTCATAAACATAAAAGGTGAAAAATCATAAATTAGCCGTGGATGGCGACCTCTCGGCTCTCCCACATCCGGCGGATCAGCATGGCGTTGTCGTTAATCTGGAATCCTTCGTCATTATCACCACTCAGGTCACGCGAAGCTTCGGCTGAAGTGGAGAGGATGCGATGAGATGGATCATTAGACTTGGCAGCCTTTGCGGTATTGAGAGGTTCGTTGTCTGTCGCTGGGTCTTCAGAAGCGGTGGAGATTGGATTACGCAAGTGGGACTTAGACGCAGGGCTTGAGCTGAGGCGACTGGGTCCTTTATCTTGCTGCAGAAGGGGCAGCGAAGGTGCTGATTTGACTGGTTTGCCGAGAGCTGATCCGTGCTCCGCTTTGTTGCCTCGGAGAATATGACGAAGACGAGCGAAGCTCTGGCCGGTGGGAGACTGGAAACGTCGTACGACCGTCAGTTCTAAGGATGTCTTCTCATACGCCTTGCGGATATGACGGGTTTCACTGTCATGTCCTGCACCACCCGCTCGACCGTCGCCGTTAAGCCCCCTGCCGGCGTCATAAGTGCTGTGGCTAGCGGCACTAAACGTTGGGTCGATGGCAGACGGCGGAGCTGCTGCAGTCACTCCATGGTTATCAGGAGGAGAGTTATTGAGGGTGGCAGTACGTTGAAGCCAGAGCTTCTGTTGAGTGCGAGAAGGCAGGTCTGCACCACGCGGCCGCGCAGGAGACGCAGTCAATTTAGCCGCTGCGGTGTTCGGAGAGGGCGGCGTCTGTGGGTGGTAGTGCGGGAGGAACGATGAGGGGGTATTCGGGTCTGAATCGGTGCGAGAAGATGCCTGCATGCTATTCTTGTTGTTCAAAATGAACCTCGAGACTCCATTTTCCATGGAGGATGAGGTGGCTTGGGGTTGAGAGCCTGGCATGCTGGCCATGCTGGTTGTAGAGAATGTGCGCCGAGAGTTGTCCTGGCCAGCAGCCAGGTTGAGAGATGCGCTACTACGTGATGCGGGATTGAGATTCGTGGCTTCTGGCTTCACCATAGCCGAGATTGAGGACATAGCAGGGGGCGCCTTGGATGAGTGCGTAGGACTTAGGAGGCGGGTTGCTATGTCTCCCTGTTCAGTGTGCTGACTAGACCCGTCGGCTTCTTCGTCCGAGTCCTGCTGTTCGGCTTCCTCATCCTCATCATTATCCTCATCTAGTTCAGTACGCTGTCGGACGAACTTGGTGGTGATCGACTCGGGGAGACTGGTCGCTCGAGGCATTTGCGGATATGGTCGCTTGACAAAGGTAAGGTGGTCGACAAGAACAGTGCTATTGTCTGCGCTGGGATTGGATGGGGCCACCGAGTTGCGCCTCGTACTTTCGGGTGACTGTGTGGTATCTTCCCACTCAGCTTCGTCGGTCTCGTCATCCCCCAGTTCAAATCCGACCGTCTTTTTCTTTACCGTGCCAGGGGCCGGCCGCTCAGTTACCAACGCTTTCTTCCCAACGGCTGATGGATTCCGGCGCAACACAGGAGTGGAATAGTTTCTCCTCATGGAAGGATCAGTTGTATGACCATCCACAACGTTATCCCATCGAACGTGTCCGCTTTCCTTTGGACTCGCTATTGGAGTAGCGGGGGCTGACTTCTTGCGTTGATGATGCCGCCCAGCAGTCTCGGGAGCTAGTTGGAATCGTTGAAGTTTGTTAAAGTTTTTGCTGGTGGAGGGGTTGCGGTGGTGATTGCGAGCACCAACAACATGGGCACGGTGCGGTTTATGATGTAGAAGTGCCTTCTGGGAGTGGGACAATGATAGGTCACTAGGATTAGTGCTGCGCGTGACAACTGCATGGGAGGACACGGCACGGCGACCGAGACCCGGGCGCTTGACAGGGGAAGAGGTATTTGAGGCGTTAGAGGTAGGCATGGCGGTAAGCGAAAAAGCCCCCAGAGGAGCCACAGGCGGGTAATCAGCTGTGCTCACGGAGCATAGAATGTGGGGATTGGCCGAGGCAAGTTGATCCAAGAGGTCTCACGGCAGATTAGAGAGCATGCAAGCAAAAAGCAATGAAGACTCAATAGCTGAAATCCGGGTTACACCGGTTTGAACCACCACTGAAAATGAATGAAAAATCAAATGGAATGTGAAAAGAAGAAGAACAGGAGAGAAATCCGGGGGGCGAATTAGAGAAGTGAAGAAGAGAGAGGGTGATCTCGCTGTCTTCGGCGATTAAGGAGCGGGTAATAGTATTGTGGAATGCCTCAGGCAGACGACTCTGCGCCAAAAAGGTTATAAAATGGAACAATTCTGTTCCATCTACGTAGTGACGATAGTTTTGTATTTTTAGGGGGATTTTTCTTAGAAAAATAGGCACCCTTGAGAGTGCATCTAAAGAGCCCTAAATTATATTGGAGATAACTATTGGCAGTCTACATAGGCAATATCCTTTCGTGTACTCCGTATACATGAGATCTCTTTATTCACCTACTTCAAGCTACACATTCAATCTGCTAAAAGTCTTAGGTATCATTGGGTGAAGAAAACAAACAGATAAAGCCATAGATAACGCCGAAAACAAATATAATTACGCTATAGCTCAATCAAGTTTTCCTCCACTGGCCGTGCTGGTTGCTGGTAAGGCGGCTGCGAATTCTCCTGTGCATACGATCCCGGTTGTCCAGCGGTGGTTGAAGGATAAGCAGATGGCACAGCGTTTGGGGGGTGTTGGGGTTGAGACTGTGGCGAGTAATAGTAAGATTGAGAAGGGCCCGTTTCCTGCTGATGAAGTGCTGGCACAGTAGGCGGCGCCGAATAGCCTGACGATTGTGCATACCCGGCAGATGCGTGTTGATCGGGCGCGGGGGTAGGACCGCTGGGAGGCGCACTGGCCTGATACTGAGAGTCCTGGTGCATAACGGGTGACGGCTGGTATGGGGGTTCTGTGCCGGGTGACTTGGCTGAGTCTTGGTCGTGTGGTCCGGCGTAATATTGAGCCGGAGCACTTGGTGCTGCGGTATTGGCATAGTTATTTGGAATGGCGTTGTTAGGTGAAGGTGAGCCAAGGGTCGAATGGGTATTTCCACCCCAGGTGTGGCCGTGAGACTCATTCGTGGGAGCTCCGTGTTGAGTTTGTGAAGTGTATGCGGAATTCTGGAAGGCGCTAGGTGCACCTCGATATCCCTCGTTGTTCACATGATGCGATGCATAGATGGTAGTAGGTGGGCGGGAGCTGTCCATTTGAGTGCCATAATAGAAATTCTCGGCTCCACTCTGGACATCGGGAGCATGAGTAGGGAAGGATGGCTGAAGATTTGGGTAGTGCGCCGCCCCAGGGACAGCTCCATGCCCAAGGGTGTGTTGGGAATAGGCACTGGTCAGACGCTCTTCCAGCATCCGATCATAGTAACGTACAACCGTAGAGAGCTTCGCATGGAGATCCAATAATGTATCTGTGGCGATTAGCTTGCGGTTCTATACATAAAGATGGTAAGGCTGCTGAACTCACCATGTTTACTCATGGTCTCTCCATAGCTTCGAGCTAGCTTTGGTCGAAGGGAACCGATACTCTCATAAAGTTCCTGAATCTGCGGCTCTCTAAGAATTGTGCCCGGCGGTTGATGTTGGAGCCGATCAACCAGTGTAGAGAAGAGATGAATATTCTCAGTTTCAACGGGGGTTAGTTCGTATGGATTTTTAGTCAATGGAGTGGGCGTGCTGGAGGAATCGCGTAAGGTAGAACTTGGAGTGGGCACGTTCTTCAATGCGGCCGCATGGTTTTGCTTGTGCTGTTCCATATCACGCAGGGACGCTTCAATCGCAGCCTTGAGATCCGCATCTTCCTCGTCAACACTCTCGAGCGCTGGGGCGGGTTTCGCAGGTTCCGGGGCGTTGCCTGTCTGCGGTACAAACCCCGAAGATCCTCTACCCTCGGCTTCATCGAGACTCATTTGCAACGCTCGACGCAAATCCTCATCAAATCCCGTATCCGCTTTACCAGCACGAGGTTCCATCGTGTTAGATTTGCTGATGGAGTTGTTTTTGAATGCGGATCGATCCGAAATTCCCGGTGGCGCAAATGACTTCGAGGTTAGTTTGGCATGACATCCATCATCTACTCTGACCGGCTGCAGAATTCCAAGATGCGGTAAAGGAATGGTCTTGCTTGAACACTGTGCGTCGAAAACGTTGCCGCAGTTACGGCAGTGGTGTTTGCGATTCATAAAGCTGAAGGCAGTCCGACATCGCATGCAGACTTCAGAGTCGATCCACTCTGGAGGCTGAGACAGATTCACAAATTAGCTTCTGCTTCAGAGCGAGGGATTTAAGACACACTCACTGCGCTACTCTCCAGCATACTGCCGCTCATTTCTGTCTTTGGTGGAAACTGGTATCCTTCGCTCTGCAATTTGCGATATGTCTCGCCCAAATACGTCAAATCCATACGGCCCTGTGCAGCCATGGCCCAGTTCTGAATAAGTTCTAATATTTTCCCCTGGACCTCGGCATTAAGGGGAGCGCCTTCAGATTTCAGCAATGAGACAAGGTTATCCATGAATTCTCGAGAAGCGATCTCGGCCAGGAAATGGGTGCCTCCGTTTTTGACACATGTATCCGTTAACTGGAGGGGCAGGCTTATCAGCGCTTGTTCCAAGCCTATCATCAACCAGGGAGTAATGTTTCACCTTCAGTGTCGCCAGCTGAATATTGGGATTCCTATTCTCAAGACGCCGTTTCAAAGACCTCATTCCATCCTTGGGCTGAACACTCTTTGATCGAACCATATCTGATATCTCCAGGTTGAGCGCAATGTCTTCCCTAAAAGCCAGTTAGCCACATGATCATTTATTTCAGACAATCCCGGTAGGTAGCCTCGGTCCATATGGGCCTGATAACAGCATAGCAATCGAAACTCACAGGGAGGAAGCTGTCGCCCGCTCGATCTGCTCATCGAGCGGCGAGGTTGAAGAGAACCAGCCTGCCATGGTGAAGGCTAAACACCGGAAGCGCGTGTAATATCGAAGGAATACAGATCACAATAGTGTTGCAGAAAGCCAAGACACTTAAATGCAGCGAATATGAAGATCAGGCTGTTAAGTTGGAGGAGGAGCTTCCAGGCACCTCAATAATAGTGACTAAGCCCCTGGCGTCATAGGCTGGGGGCGGTGAAGTACTGTCATCTGATTACCCCAGAGGCATCCCGCATTGTGTCCCTGGATCTGTCCTCTTTACTCTGGTCTGTCTTTCGTTATTTGTGTTTGTTATTTGGACTTGATTAACTTTTGGGCGGGTCGGTTACGCCACTGGTTTGGCTCTGCTTTCTTTTATTTTTTTCCCACTGGTCTTGGACATAACCATGCGCTAAGCCCGCTTGTCGCTGCCTGGATCTACCATGTCCTCCGATGCGGCGACTTTGCCATCTCCCCCAAAAGTACCACCGTGGAAGGACAGCCGGCGTTCTTACTCGGTGGGGGACGACATGAATTCCAGCGTACAAGTCAACGGACCGGATTCATATCCCAAGGGCAATGCCCCTCACATCCCACCGCGGCGACCTCGGTTCCCCAATATTAAAGACCTGCAAGACCAGGCTGCTGCGTTAAACGTTAATGACACTACACCGGTATGTGCTGCACTTGCTGGAAATTGTACCAATTATTTCTTCTAACAAGAATCGTAGCTTAGCATTCTCTTGCCAACGGCTGCCGATGCAATCGAAAGGGCCAGGAACCTCGCAGATGACGACTACAACGACAAAGCCTACGTCCAGTACCTTCGTGCTTCCGAAATTACCATCAATCTTATTCCCCATCATCCGGACTATCGAACCGTCAGCCAACGCCCTGATTGGTACAAGGAGTTCGCCGACCTAGTGAAGGCAGTGCGGTCCAAACAAGGCACTATGGATGCGATCAAGCGGGAAATCATCGAGGATAATCTGGTCAGTGGCATGCAGCCAACCGGTATATTCACATCCCGATCCCCAGAACAGATTTCTGTCACGCCACGGGGCCGTGAGAATCGAGAGTCTGGAACAAACTTAGCTAGAATGCCAAGTCCGACTGAGTATCAAAGAATGCCCGAGACAGAGGCACGTCCGCAACGATTTTCCAGTCCTCCAGATGATATGCTTGCGCAACGTTTTGCCAAACTCAAGGCGTCTCCGCCCTCCAACCAGTATGGGTTGGGAGCAAGTACTGCTAGCCCGGGAAGTCCAATTGTAGGATCTGCAGGGCAGACCCCACTTCATCCGTCGAATATACCCCTTGGGACACACAGCTCCCCACCGCCAAGACGTCCATTGGGGCCTCGTGGTATGGGATCTTCATCCAATGTACCGATCATTCCACCGAAGCTCCCGCTTAATACGTCGTTACCACGTGCCCCGGACCCGGCCTATAGCCCTGTCTTCACCGTGCCATCAAAGCCCACGTCCAACCCCCGAGAAGGTCAACGGAGAGCACGCGATCAGGCAATCCAAGATACTCACAATTCAGCAACTCACCACGTGTCAGTCCAACCCGGGGAGGCTTTGATGAGAATCCGTATAGATCTATGACACCCAATGGCTTGAACTCGGCGCGAGAGACGCGAAGCAACTCTCCTGATTTACCGTACAGCACAACCATAACTGCACAGAGCCTCCTCGAAAATCTGCGGAAATTTAATGTGTTGTTGATCGATGTTCGGGCCCGAGACCAGTATGATAATGGTCACATATATGCAAAATCCATCATTTGTATAGAACCTGTGGTTCTGAAAGAGAACGTTTCTGCGGAAGAACTAGAGGAGCGACTCGTTGTTTCACCGGAACATGAGCAGGCCTTATTTGAGAAACGAAACGAGTACGACCTTGTGGTTTACTATGATCAAAGCGCCGATTCTGTCAGCTATCTCGCTGGCTCGCCGGTGGGGACGTCGGCCCCCCCATTTGAGGGCTCTCCATGATACTCTTTACGAGTTCAATGCATACAAACCGTTAAAGGCCGGGCGGCCTCCGGCTCTCCTGCTGGGTGGATTGGATGCCTGGATCGATCTTCTAGGGCAACAATCCCTTGCGACATCCTCGACTGCTGCTGTCATGAGTTCTCTGCAAGCCAGAAAGCCCTTGCTTCGACCAGGTCGACCCCTCGGGAGAGTGCCTACCATGGCTAGTGCGAATTCAAGCCTTGAAATTCGGAAGAGACGACTACGCGAGTTCACTCCCTTGAATTCGAAAGAGCTGTCCGAGTGGATGGAGAAATCCAAAGTCGAGGAGATCGACACGAGCACCTATACCGAGGAAGACTCACTAACAGAAGAACCCGAGGAGACGGGACCAGAGCCTTCCACTCCATTTGTCCACACATACGAGGCTTTCTTGCGTCGTTTCCCTGAACCACACGATGTTCAACAGTCCATGACACACGCGGATCCCCGTCCTCCCCTTGCCGCCACTCCAAATTATGCTGCACACATGTCAGTGGCCCCCTCTCGACCACCCCCTGCTCTGCCTCGTCCCAGCTATAGCGGCGTCTCCGATGGACGGCAAATCCAACCCCATTTGCACCGACAGAATTCGGCGAGTCGAACAGCCCTGTATGCTCCAAGCTCCCGCCTAGATCGCCTCAAAATTCCACGGACTGGATTAACCAATTTCGGTGTGACGTGCTACATGAATTCTACCATTCAATGCCTCAGCGCAACGATTCCACTGAGTAGGTTCTTCATCGACAACCGATTCCGCTATTATGTACAAAAGAATTGGAAGGGGTCTCAGGGCGTTATGCCGGGACTTTACGCGAACCTAACCCGGTCACTATGGAAGAACGATGTCGAGGTCATCATGCCGACCTCGTTCCGGAACTTCTGCGGACGCTTGAATCGAGAATGGGCCATCGACCGACAGCAAGATGCCAAAGAATTCTTTGATTTTGTGGTAGATTGCCTCCACGAGGATCTCAATATCAACTGGCAGCGAACTCCGCTTCGACCTCTCACCTTTTCAGAGGAGATGCAACGGGAGCGAATGCCGATGACTAAAGTTTCCCGAATTGAATGGGACCGATACTGCCACCGAGAAGAGTCTTTTATCTCGTCCCTATTCGCAGGACAGCATGCCAGTCGATTGCGCTGCACGACCTGCCGACAAACATCCACTACCTACGAGGCCTTCTACAGTATCAGCGTTGAGATCCCACCAACCGGTGCCGGTGATATCTACCAGTGTCTCCGTAGCTACTGCCAGGAGGAGATGCTGAGCGGCGACGAGGTCTGGAAGTGCCCACACTGCAAATGCAAGCGAATGGCAACCAAGCAGATCATCATCACGCGCGCGCCCCAGATTCTCGTTGTCCACTTCAAGCGATTTTCTGCATCCAAGACCCAAAGTGCACGGAAGATCCACACACCTATCGAATTTCCGCTTCACGGTCTGCGCATGGACGATTTTGTGATTGCTCACCCTTCGCCTCCCCCTCCGGAACCCGGTATGCCGCCCACCACGGGGGCTACGATCCCGCCATTTACTTACGATGCCTTTGCCGTGCTACGGCATCTCGGGTCTTCCATGGGCAGCGGGCACTACATCTCACTGGTGCGCGATGCGGAGCGGCAGTGCTGGCGGAAATTTGACGACGATCGGGCCACGGACTTCAATCCGCGGGAGCTTCGGCCGCGGGAGCGGTTGCAGAACGAGCAGGCGTATATTGTGTTTTATGAGCGAGTTCCAGCGAAATGAGCGTTTTGATTTCTAGCACATTGTCATGATCAACGATTGGATAGAGGCTTTTTTTTTGGGGTGTATATTATTATGCACACATAGTATTATGGAAATTTTATACACAGTATTAGAATTTTACTTAGTACAACATATACTAACTCTGTAGCTATATAACTAACATGATGTAGTATGTATGCCATCTTAATTCCGCCAGCGGAAAGCGGATACCGACGGTGCTACCCGAGAATTGGTCCCCGAGGTTACGGTTAATCAGGCAGAGTGGCCAGGCAGTTGCGTTTATAGATGTACTCTACTTACTCTACTTACTCTACTCTACTACTATAGTCAATTAGAATACCATACGTAATATCCTATATACTCTATAAAATCCAAGTCTTGAACACTTTCAAAGGTCATGCACCCATCCAGGCCAGATCTCCCCCTCCTTTGGACTCTAATAAGCGGCCCCTGATTCGTCACCCCCAGATCCTATCTAGCACAACATATACGGTGTGTGTACCAAAAGAGTATCCGATTCAATTAAATATAAAGTGACCAAAGTTGAGATAGAAAGTCCTAGAAGAGATACTATCCAATTAGAAATCTCCCTTTTTCCCTGATTCCCCCTCATATAAGAGTCGGGTGTAATTCGCGGCATCAAAGAGTCCCCCGGTACCTGGGCTCCACAAGAAGAGACCGCCCAGCCGCACGTACCAGATACATTTTGGGGGCGTTCTTTTTCTTCGGTTCCTTTTTTGGCATCTCCTTCTGTCTGTTTTCCTATTTTCCCTTTCTCTTCCTCTCTTTTCCCTCTCTTCCCTCTTTTCCAACACCCGAGCTACTTTTGGGACCGATTATTTCCCTCCGAAATACCCCGTAAGTGGTTCTTCCTATCTCCCAACATTTCTCGGAGCTATTTTCTCCTATCGCCAACTCCACTCAACACATCCCCTCCTTCACTTGTCTTTACAGAACCCTGTTCACTGACCGCCAAATCTGACTCAGATATCTCAATTCACCATGTCTGAAGTCAAGCAACTCACCTTGCAGGAGGTCTCCGAGCACAACAACAAGAAGGATCTCTACCTGATCATCAACGACAAGGTCTACGATTGCACCACATTCGCCAACGAGCACCCGTACGTTGTCTCCATATCTACCCACTGCCACCGAATCTAGAATCCCAATACCCAAAGCGAAAGAACAAAAGCGAGAATAGGAGAGGAAGAAACAAAACAAGAAAAAAGGCCACCTCAACCTATTATCTTCACTCTCGCATTGCTTGACCAACCCCAGATTCAACCCCAGAACCAACAAGCTAACCAATCCAACAGCGGTGGTGAGGAAGTCCTCCTCGATCTCGCCGGCCAAGACTGCACCGAAGCCTTCGACGATGTCGGCCACAGTGATGAGGCACGCGCCCTCCTCGACGACGGCATGTTCGTCGGCGACGTGAAGCGCATGGTACGCAACCCACCCTAAAACATCCCAACATCCCTCCTACAAATACATATTCCCCCCCCCGACACACTCCATGTGTCCCCCTTCTACCCTCGGCACCCTCCAACCCCACGCAAATCACATGCACCAGTAACTAACAATCTATCAAAAATAGCCCGGTGACCCCGTCCCCAAGGCCAAGACAACCACCAGCTCAGACTACTCGTCTTCCTCCTCCGCCTCCGGCTTCGGCGTTGGCCTCTACGCCGTCATCCTCATCGGTGGCGCTATCGCATACGGCGCATACAACTACCTCCAGGCTCAGCAGGCTCAGCAGCAGTAAACTGGCCGCAGTGTCCAGGGTATTTGTTTTTGCAATTAGATGACTATGAGAGGACTGAATGGGTTGTGCGTGGTATCAGAATGCAAATCTGAATCCGAGATTTAAAGACCCGTCTTTTCCATATGGATGGGGGAGTCGCTATGGCTAAAAGAGCAAAGAGAGCAAAGAGCGTTTTTTTCGAGTTTCGGGCATTATGAGTATTCATCTCTTTTTTTATATATTACCCTTTTTTTTATCTATATGTATTGTCGACATACCTTCAATGTTATTGGATTAATCCTTTTTTTTTTTTTTTCGGAATTGACTATATCAGCGTGAATGTATGTGTGATACCTCGGGACTTGGAATATTGAAGATATCATAATCAACAAAAGCCACCTGGGCATCTGGCCAAGCGGGCTTAATACCTTAATACGTACATACGGGCCTGAGCTTAATACGGCAATTGCCGCAGATCACCGGCGGAGTCCTTTACTCCTTTAGGGACGACGATCCGGTGTCTGACATTCCCCTCATCTCCTCATCTCTCCAATATCTCTCCAATATCTCCAATTCTATCTTATGGTGAAAGAGATTTCCAATAACCCGGAGACGAGAGGAGGTGAGGGGATATTGGGTCCGAGCTTGGCTTTTCGACGGCGTTCGATCTGGTTCCTCTTCTAATAGGGAATCTAGATTGCAATCTATACGATGGCATGTTCTGTTGTAGATTGGACCTACATAGATAACCTTGGAAAGGTGATAGAACCCAATTACTGCCTAGATTGGAAAGCCACCTGGGCAATACTCTGTCTCTTTCACTAAAGAGTCAAGTCCATCAATTCCTTGTAGACAATCCGAGTCAGATCTGGGGAAAGTAGCTACAGGAGAAGCAGACACAGTATGATGAAAAAGGCCAAGAAGCAATAAATGCGAAAGCAAGATCAAAAGAAACTCTTTTTAAAAAACCAATATTCATGAAAAAATAGATACCGAAGGAAAAAGATGAAAACAAGAATTGAAGGATAAAAAAGAAAGCCAAAAGAAAAAGAACTAAAATGATACTGTTCCCGCTCGCTCGAAGTTAAAGCAGAGAAGGGTGGTTGTAAAAGTCGGTTTCTCTATGTCGGATCAAAAACCACTGTCGCAATAACGACCCATAACCACTCATCGCGTCGCGCCGTGGAGTCCATTCTGCACAGCCTCCAGGATCATCTCCTTGGCCTCTTCCAACCCGCTGGCGCTACCCCGGATTTGAATCGCTTCACCGCGAGCCTGGTCCTTGGGCACGTTGATACGGCAACCGGTCTTCTTGCGGATAGCGTTGATCTGGCTGCCGCCCTGGCCAACGACGAAGCGGTAGGTTTTGGGGTCGGGCAGGATCAGGTAGCCCGTAGTGGATTGCTGGGTTGCGGAGGCGAGAGCCTTCTCGATGACAGCGCGGGCCTTGGTCACATTCTCCGGGGTTCCGCTGAGCACCCAGGGGAAGGGGCTTGAGGCAACATCCGGGGTGTTGTTGTCGACAATGGTCCAGGAGTGTGCATCGGCGGTGACGCTGGGATCATCGATGATCAGGGGCATGTCGGTGCCTTCAGCTGTGGTGCGGGTATCCTCAGCGGCAGAGGGGGCAGGCACGGGTACGGACTGGCCGGCGTGGTCGACGGTGACCTGGTGGTCGTTGCGCAGGCGGCGGAAGATGTGGCCATTGTCGGCGAGGACGTGGTGCAGGTGGCTGGGGACCTCAATAGTCTCCGCGTGCTGCTCCTTCAGCATGGACTGGAGGTGCTCCTTGGCGCTTTCGACGGCGCTACTAGGACCCTTGAGCTTCACATCGGTACGGCCAGAGCCTTGTTTGGGGATATCGAGGGTAACGTTGAACTTGGACTCAATGCCACGGCGGGTGTCGCCTCCACGGCCGATGAGCATGCGGTGCTGGGCGGTGGGGACGTCGATGATCTCCGTGACCTGGTCCTGACGCTCCTTGACAAACTCTTCAATCGCGGCGATGATGCTCTCCACGATCTTGCCGTTGCCCTCGAGGCGGATAGTCGATTCGGTGCTTTCAGGGCGGGGGAAACGGACCATTCTAGCGGCGCTACCATCAGTGGGGCCACCAGCTTCGGTGACAATCTTGCGGATGTTGGCACCTATATTAAGTCAGTAAATGAAAATAAGCATATCACTTTGCATGAAAACATACCGCCTCCACCAATCAAAGCCTTGTGGTACTTCTTCTCAACCTCAATGGTCTTAGTCACAGTCGCATCGAACTCGCTAGCCCGCTGCTGCAAGATCTTCTTGGCCTCAGCAACCTGCTGCTTAGTACCCTTGACACGAATCTCCACACGGCCAGATGCATCCGGTGCGTCGTTGGCGTTAGGGACATCAATCTGCGCGCCGGTATCAGCGCGAAGCTTGTCCATCTCGCGACCACGTTGGCCGATCAAGGATGCGACCTGGCTCTGGGCCACAGAGATGGAGGCGGAATGGCCGTGTTCAATGACATACTGCAGCAAGCTGAGGATCTCGTCACGAGCAGAGTCAGCGCCCTTGCTGGGGCCCTTAACGAGGACCTCATCCGGAGCCTGCTGAGTACGCTGGGGACGAGCACCACCAGCATCGCTGCCGGTTTCCGTGGAGTCATCATTGGCAACGGTTGCGCGGGGGAACTGGACACGGACGGAATAACGATCCTGAAGACGGTTGACCTGGTTTCCGCGCTGGCCGATCAGCTCACGGTGGTATTGGGCGGGGACCTTAAGAATGTGAGTGGTCTCATCTTCCAACTTCTTGCCCATGTTGATGATGCGCATGCGGGTAGCATCCGCCTTGGCCTTGGGTCCCTTGACCTCGACCTTTCCGTTCTCCACCTTGATATCAACATCAAACTCCTCGCGGAGCTTGTTGATGTTTTCACCACGCTTGCCAATCAGGAAGTTGGCATACTTCTGGGGGAAGTCGAAGCTAGTGGTGTAACCACGCTCCAGATCGTCCTTCTCCTGCTCCACAACGAAAGCCTCCAGCTTGGCAACAAGCTCTGCCACCAGGGCCGAGGGACCACGAAGGGAAACCTGGCATTGGGAACCCTTGGCATCACCAACAATAGCGCGCACAGGGATGCTGTCCTCGCCCTTGGCCTCCTGCTCGCGGGTGATGAATTTACGTGCCTTCTCCTGGTATTTGGCAGGGACGGAAACGGTCTTGGCAACAATGTCAAGCTTGTCTCCGAGGGCGCCCAGGAGGAATTCCTGGGCCTCTTGGAGACCCTTCTCGAAGGCTGCAACATCTGCGGGGGAGGGGCGCTGTCTGGGGACCTCAAAGCGAGAGGCAGTTGAGGAGGGGCCTTCGTAGACAAGAACAACTTCGGGGCAGTTGATGTCATCCGGCACCATCAGGTGGACGCCATAGTCACCCTGGAGGGCGCTGGCGCTTCGGTCACGCAGGTACTGGTGGAAGTACGGGTCTACAGAGACGTGGCGGAGTCTAGAAGGCGGGAGAGCCTGGACTAGGTTCATGATATCGGAGCGGGCACGAATGGTGTTCTTGCCGTCACGGGAGTACACCTCCCAAGTGACGGGTCCGCCAACGCTAGGAGGAAGCGCAATGTGCGCATCGTAGGTCGATTCGAGTTCCTTGATGACCTGGCGGCGACGGAGGTACTGCGAGAGAGCGCTTGCGTGGGCATTGGGACCGGCGGGGGCATTGGGGTGCTGGCGGGACAGATCAATGCTAGCCATCTGCATGCTTGTCGCAAGATCCATAGCGTGTTCAATACCAGCCTCGATCTGGTCGAGGGGACCGGTGATGGTGAGGAACTCACTCTCATCGGAGGCAGGGGGGCAGGACAATAGCACATCCAGTCTGTGCAACGAACTGGTGCAAAGCATCAGCCTCATTGCCCAGAATGAACTGGTGCTGGCCACGGTTGATGGCCAGCTGGCGCAGAGTAAGCTGCTGCTGCAAGTGGGCAGCCAAGCGCTCAATCTCAGCCCGAGCCTCCTGTGCGGCAGCCCGTTCGCCGGAAATCAAAATGTGCTTATCAGGCACGGGCACGAACTGAACTTGACCAGGGTTAGCCTCCTGAGGAGGGGGCTGGCTCGACCAAGTATCATAGCGCGGGACATTGATCTGCGCCTTTGTGCGCTCTTCAATGGCCCGCACGTTGGCATCATGTGCACCTGCAATGAAGGGGAAGAACTCAGGAGGGACGGTCTTCAATCGGAAGCTCATGTTTGAGCCGCGCTCCTTAACAATTGCCTCGATCTCACGGCGCGCCATCTCCGCGGCCACGGCATCTCCCTCAATCAAAATATCAATGGTATCATCGTCGTCATCGTCGGCACCAGCGGCGTTGCCGTCGGCGCGGGGGACCTGAACACGGGCACCGGTGCGGGTCTGGATATCCTGTACAACGGTACCTTGGCGGCCAATGATGTGAGCGCGCGCAGATGTGGGAATGGGAACACGGACGGATTGCTAGAGACGAATTGGTTAGCCTAGATACTTGCTTTGTGCACGTGCAATCCACATACCTTAGATCCAACCTGCTGAGCCACCTCGCGGAGAGCCTGGCGCACTGCATCTACGGAGCCCTTTCCTTCGAAAATGATTGAGCCACCGGGACCACCGCGCATATCAACATTGGCCTTTGATCTGCGGGAGATATCCCGGAGGATATCGCGCAGAGGCTTCTTCATCTGTCCACGGGGTTGCATCTGGGAGGGTGCTAGGCGCAGCTGCTCCATGTGCTTTCCGGGGAGGGCCATGATACGGGGGATCTCTGTTCTTGTGTCAAAAAATGTGTCCAATCCGGGGGGCGCTCCAAACTAATCCACGTACCCATTGACTTCGCAGGTGAGCCATTTGCGACAGCAGTGGCCGCGGAAGGCTTCTTCGCACCCCATGTAGCAGCCGCGGGGGCAGCAGGCTTCGGACCGCTGCCTAGAGCTGGGAACAATTCTTCGGATTGAACGTCGAATGCCGGGGCCTTTTTAGCGGGTTTAGAGGCGGGAGCTGGGGAAACGGTTTGCGCGAGGGTGGTAGACTCGGGAGTATCAGCATCAACGAGGAGGGGCTGATCAGGTTGCAGTGAGGTCGGAGGGGGTGTTTGAGGTCCTCCTCGTCCACGGTTTCCTCCACAGTGGGCTTGTGCGCCTCATCGCGGGCGTGCTGCTGTTCCAACATGGCGGCGAGGGATCCGCCGTTGGCAGAGGTAGATACTTCCGAAGCCATTATGAGAGATGAAAATTGATAAGGTAAATCGGGGTTGGAGACAAGGTTTAAATGAGCTATGCACAAGATCCTGCAATCAACACGGGCCCGGGTCAGTATGCAATCACGACAGATCCAGGCGGATCAGGACAGATCACCGTAAACCCGGATGCAATCAATGGCATGACAAGGACTTGGAAATAACTCACGGGTGAACTTATGTCCTTCCTCTTTTGTAATTGAGTGGGATATATAGCTTTTCAGGAGAATGCGGGTGCAATTCAGGAAAATGCAATGGCGATTTGGACTGACAAAGCGCCAAGTATCGAAAAAGAAAGAAAAGAAGGATACAGGGGCTCAAAGAGAGGAGCCACCTGAAAAGAAAAGTGAGGAGAGGTGGGAGAGAAGAGGTGAGGTGAGAGGTGAGAGAGAAAAGAAAGATCGAGAACCCCGGACAATCCAGAAAGTAAAGTACACAAGAAAAGGCCAGCTCGAATCTCCGGGGGAGTTTTCTCCGAGTCCGTGACTACACTTTGCACTTTGGAGTCTTTTGACTCTTCTTTTTTTTTTTTCTTTTCTTTCTGGAATTGATAGTAATAGTTATTGAGTTGAACTTCGGATATAATATTAATAGCTGTAATAGCTGTTCTTCACTCTCATCCGGGGATGTGCCAACGGAATTCCATTCAAGTCCACCGAGGCAATCGCAGAGCATTTATAAGCAATTTCAAGAATAACTGAATTCATACATCAGTTATAATTCATTCTCTTTTATATCATCCAGAACTAGATTCCACACGTGGCCACAGGGCGGCAAGTGGCCAATTGATGATGCACGTCACTGTGGCTACAACTTGGTATATATATATATAGGGGGGGCTGATGATTTTCAATGACCTTCAACGACTTCCAATAATATTCAGCCATTTTAAATGTAAACAATGATATGATCTGCTTCTGCAGCCCCACCAAAGAGACAATATGCTCCCGTAAAGCTTAACTTGGATTTCTAATGGCTGAATCTTATGGATATTCATTTGGATTCTAGGTGCTATGGTTGACGTTTTCGTAGCATCTGTTGGATATATGACCCAGGTTATCCACTGTGGCAATATCTCCGTGCCGAAGATATCGGATAGTGTTCGTCTGGAGTTTGACCTTCGGCTGGGCTTTTGGGACGATTTTTACCCAAAAAGGGTGTCACCCCATGATGATATACATAATTTATAATATAAGATTTGACATTTGAAGGGTCTTAGATTATGCACTAGGCGAAATATCTATGGGTATTAAGGTACTATAAAGCTGAAAGATATATCCAGGTAATCTTTCTAGTGGCCTTTCTAGCTGTATTCCTAAAACACCTTTATTGATATCTTATTTGGTATCACAATCCCTGCCTTGTCAAGCTGCTGGATTTCTGCATCAGCTTGACCATAGACACGTGCCATAATTCGGCTCCGTGAAATTCGTTGTTCTTTTGATCCGGTCCGGAAGTATATATTGCTCCATTTTCACCAATTAAACCAACAAAGCACCAACATCAGCAGCCGGTTATTGCTGTCTACTTGGGCGCACTACCAGCCCAATTATTTGCATCCCATTTGCCAAAATCCAACAACTAGTCCAGTCACCCCTGCGTGGCATCTACGGGTGCCTTCGCCCTAGGCTTTACGAGCCAGAACCGGCAGCTTGTAGTCTATGTATGTAGAGAAATCCCTCTCGTTGTTAAGATACTTGAGAATCTCCTTCTTTGTCGATCTTCGGAAATAAAAGCCTCACTGGCTACAATCTAGATGCCTGATAGGATTCTTCTGTGAGGTTAGCTATGTATGCGGGCCCGGCCGCATTCCTGTGCGGTCTCACCGGTTCGATTGTGGACATGGTGGAGACATACTATGCCAGTGGGCTTGCCAAGATTATCAAGGAGAATTGCCCTGGCATAGAAAACATTCTATCTTAGAATTGGTGCTCCCGATCTTTGAGTTGGGTATACGGGCACTAAATGGAACCGGGGGGTTTTTCACAGCGTTACTCGCCAAATGCACGTGAAGTGAAATGTTGTAGATATCCAAGCAGTCAATTGACCCAAATGAGAATGTAAGGGCCACATTATATAATTAAGAGTCGCCAGACACAAAAAGCGCATCATGACAGACATCAAGATGGCATGGGTATCGATCAAACGAGTGCAATACCTCCAAAAGTATGAGCTCAACCATGGACAATAGAAAAAAAAAGAATGTAAAAGAAATATGTATCGGTGTCGCGGGCCCGCGACGAGAAGTATGTGCATTAAGTGGCCTTGACGAAAGGCCAGCCGTTCTCCCAGCCGAGAACGTTCCACGCGTACCTGTAGTTCGCGTTGTCGGATACGGTGGTGCTCTGCTTGGTGGCAAGAGGGTAGTAGTGGTAGTACATGACCACACCGAGGTCCTTGTCATTGACCACACCAGGGCCACCGGGTCCGAACACCTGGCCGTGGCTGGAGAGGAGCATGGTGCCGCCGGTCTCCTTGCAGGATTTTCCATCGGCATCAACCTATAAGATAAAAATGTTAGAGAGAGTGTCTTTGCAAATGCACCAGAGGATTGGAAAACATACAAAGTCACCAAGACCGGTGGAGGATCGGCAAACACGAATGTGGTACTCAGCACCCTCAGCTGGGAATGTCTTTGTGTACTTGCCCGCAATACCAGCGGAGTAGAGGAGATAGTAGTAATCGCCGTGCTTGAACTCGTATGAACCCTCTTCGCGGTGGTTGAGGGTAGCATTCCAGGAGATTTGGTAGGGAGTTGCGCTGCCAACTTGCAGAGGAGTCTCCATCTCGACCTGGAAGATATCGCCCCAGAAAGAACCAAAGTTCATATAGTTCTTGCCGCCGATGGTGATCCAGGCGGGATCGATACGGTTGTAGTTGTCGTTTGCAGGGAGACCAACAGAACCGTGGTCTGTCCAGCTGCCAGGTTCCATGGTCTTGGATGTTGCTACACCGATCTGTGAGTTCTGAGTGCCGATCTGTGATAGGACGTAGTACATATAGTACTGGTCGTTCTGGTAGTGCACATCAGGGGCCTACAAGGTGAATTATGTTAGCTAATAGACATGCATATTATTTCCCGAGCGTTTGAGGCTTTTCTTACCCAGATATTCGTGCTGTCCACGTTATCGAGGGTAATCTTAGACCCATTTGGCAACGCCGAACCAAGGTCTGTCCATGGACCCTTCACTGACGGCGAGCTATGAGTGCTAACACCGGTGCCCGTCGAAAAGCGGTAATATTTCCCATCAGACACACGCTGGATCATGGCAGGGTCATGGGCCCAGCAGTTGCCTGTGCAAGCACCCCGGTTGGGGTATGCGCTGGCGAGGGCAGTAAATAGAAGCGGGACGAGACCAAACATTATGTATAAACAGAAGGGGGGTCGGGCTGTGAATAAAAACATTCTAGGATGGAGGAATTACGTCCAATTTATGTTGATTTGGTCTACACCATTCGCAGCTCCCCCAGGTTGGGGCCCGAAGTATGACCATTTCGCATATAAACAGCTCGCCCAATCATCGGCTATTACCCCCTGCACATCGTATCTGGGAGATGTAAGGTGCATGTCAGTATTGAGCCCGGTCTAACTGTAGTCGGCCCCGAAAGGGATGAGCTCATTACCGAGCTCTAAGGAGTCCTGCTCCTGTGGATCCTTGAATAATAATAATAAAAACAAATGCTTGCTGCATAAACAAAGCATTACCATAGTGTCGAGTGCATGCACCTACTGTATAGAATTTTTTTTTATCTTTGTGATGTCTCCCATTGTACAAGGCGCAGTCAATACAAGTTGTGTTAGCTTCACTCGATTTGATCTTTTGCATATATCCTCAACACGAGTTACACCGATGACCATCTGACCTAAAAGTCTAGAGGCTAAAGGTCTCGGCAGCAGTCTCGGCACTAGGAACGGGATAGCAGATGTGTTGTTCGCTGCATGTGTATGCTGGTTCCACATTCCCATCAGCAAGGGAGAGAGCATCTACCCCAACGCTATTGAATTATATGTGAGAGCTTCAAGAGAGGTCAAGCATATTCGAAATTTTAATTCCATCTTCTCCTCTTGTTATCTCCAGACAATGAAAATCATGGAATATATCACATCTCATTAACTTGCGTGGCTTGATTCTTGTTTACGCCGGGTGGATGATCTGCACCCATGTGGACCAACTGCGGACGATATTAAGCCAATCACCTGGGAGGTCCTGTGCGTGAGATCCAACACTTAGCTCAACTAGTATTTGAGATCGAAAGAAGCTAAAGAAAAGAGTGCGTGTCATGCGCATTCGTCAGAGTCCGTGCATATGGTCAACTCTCTTCATCAAAAAGCGGGGGACTTCGCCATATTGACAGTGAATCACATCAGGTGTTAAAGATATTCTCACTTGATCTGACCCGAGGAAATGGGGGATTCAATCTGCACGACGAAAACAAATTCCCCGATATAACACGTCATCCGCGCTATAAATCGCCCGATCAGACAACCGTGCTGTTGAGCCCCTTTGGGCCTCGCTTTGGGCACAGCGCCCGGTGTAGATACGTTGATTTTAATCATAGCAGGGTTTCTCTCAAGTAATCATGCTCATGCCAAGAACACTCAGCTAGGCTGAGTCTCAGTGTATATATGTAGCGACTGGACTTACCGCTAGTTATATTGGAGATCCGCGTCAAAGTAAGGCGGGGTTGATCTGGGGGCGGACTGGGGTAATTAGGGGTGGCTTATGAGAGCCTCTTGGTAAACCTGATCAAATCAGCATTGCACTGCCGGGACAGGGCTGAGCTCTGCTAAGAATATCCATAGATATCCCACCTGGGTAGAGCAATGCGGACAATCAACGGGCGTAGAGACAATGTTCCTTGTTCCCTACTCGTGTTTTTCTATCTTTCTGTCAGACAATGTGCCAAATTTCAATTTATCTAAGTCATCACCGTCTTATACTTATACACGTATATTGGGGGTTGGCACATTTTCACACATTACTGTTAAAGGTGAACAAGAAACTACGCTAGATATTTCAAGATCTATTAACTAATCAAGAGCATAGGACCAGCAATAGAGCGAAATTGATTTCAATTGGAATATTCTAACAGACTCGTTCTTCCGATACCGTGGGGCAACAACATGTTAATGGGACGAACATTTGTGATCCCCAATGTTGACATAGAACACAACCACATCTGCCCATCCACACACCATCTTTTCATCGCCCCCACTCCCGAACTCTCTCTGTATTCCAGTATTTGGGTCAAAGACCCCTCACCAACTCCTAAATGAGCGCCACCCCTTCCTAGCTTATGCACAGGCTTAGAATAGATGAGCTGAACCAGCTCCGGGGTCTGGCATGGTAGTTGGGTCTTGGTCATAGTACTGTGAGTTCCAGTGTTGCCAATCTTGCTCAAGTGCCGGGTCATAATATTGAGCACTGACGAATGGATCATCTGGTGGCACGTAATAGTTTGGTTGCATTGCTTGAGGAATGGGAGGGTAGCCCTGGTGCCAAGATCCATACATTTGATTTTCTGCAAACTCGAGCGCTTCGTTCCTTTCGATGATTTGGCCGATCATTCTCCTCAATTCTTTGACTTCTGCGAGTATCTCCCGGAGCATTTCAATTTGCTCACTGTCGGTGACATCGGTGACATCGGGAGTGGATTCAAGTGGAGAGAGACGGCTCGCATTTGTGCTGCGAAGGCGAGAATCGGGAGGGCGATAATATGGTTCCGGGGTCCTGGGGCTTTCAAACTTGGGCTCTGAAATTGAAGGGACATTCTTGATAGGGGTGTTTGGCCAAGGTTTGCCGAGATCACTGGCCTTTTTCTCCTCACGAGCCAGCCACGAACGAAAAGAATCGACAACGCCATATTTCGGGGTCGGGATTGTCTCCCCGGTGAGAATTTGTCTCCATTTAGGAAGGACTCTATCCAATACTTCATCTGAGAGGAGTCGATTACCTTGATCATCGGTGGCCAAGGCGACATTCCAATAAGGAGACCGAACTGTCCAGGAAACCCAGCCGGTCAGGTAAAAGACGTCGGGATGCTTTTTCATTGCGTTTTTGTCGCCCCGGGTCATCACATCCCGCATATCATGGTCAAATTGTAGGGTCCACTTGGGGCCAACGACGAGATAATCATCCATACTGTTCTCTTGAGCTTTCCGTTATGTCAGTATCGTCTACCGATGCTTGAATTAAACAGTGTTTTTACCGTTCTCTTGGTCACAGAGATCTTCAAATGACACCTCTTGATCTCCCATAGATTCCAACTTCTGCAGCAGCTTTTTATGTGCTTTGTTCTCCATGAGGACACGGAGTTTCATCATCCACTTCTGACTACCGACCAAAGAGTGGGTACCTGAGAGCTTCTCGATGTCTTCGAGAGTAGAGGATGTACCAAATGGGAGCAGAAGATGAGTTAGCAGCTCTGGGATCTCAGGAGGAATTGGGTTATTGTCTTCGATGTCGCTAAGCCACTGAGGAAGACATGCAGCAAGTTCCGTTGCCTTGCATATTTTGTTACCGGACAAGACCCGGAACAACAAGTAACTGATTGTGGTCTTCTCGGTTGTGGTATTCTCGGCTGCAGTAACAGCAGGAGGTGGTGGGGTGTTTCCCGCCATAATGCTGTGTCTTGAGAAGGGAAATAACCTGGGGAAACGAGAGAGTCAAGAAACGTGATTAAGAGAGAAGGTAAGGTTAAGACGAACAGACCAGTGATAAGAATAGACTTGTGTAAGTGGAAATATGTGAGAACTGTAGTATCGCAGGGGACGCGTGACAAGATAGACCGGAGACTTTGGAAGAGAGGAACTTCCTGAAGAGTCAAGTTGCCACGCTATGTGTCGCCGAGAGAATCCTTAGAGTTCAGATAAAAGCGAGTGTGGGGGCAAGGAAGTAGATTGAATACGTGACAGTAAGAGAAGCAAATCCGACGAGAAGGACTACCATCCACGAAGGGAAAGAGCCTGATCAGATAGGTTGTAGGTCAGGTCGGTGATAGGGTAACTTGAAAAGCCGTGGATATGATATCGCCCAGGTGATTGTATCTTAAACATAAATCCCAGGGATTTCATCACGAATAGACACAGTCCGGTGTATGGCATCGTTGAAGGATTATCAAGCCATATATGAAGACCAAATAGTACATAGATGCTACAGGACGTGATAAATGGATGACCATGCACCTCTTTGGCTGGCAAGTGAAGGGATCATTCTTGTCATAGGATTTCATTCTGTTTTTCTCCCAAATCTAGACACTAGTAACCGCTTGCAAAAATTACTCTCATATTAAAAAAGTTCAGGTGGGAGCTTCCTCCTAAAGTTCCCATGAATATCACATCTGAATGTAAACATTTGTATATCATCTGGTATTAATGGATGATTCGGACAGACTTGGACTTTACCTAGATAAGGTTCAACAGGGCCGAATAAAGCTTGATCACATCGAATGCATAGCTAGACAAAGGAAGACCGACATCAAACCTACAGATCTAGAGTTCGAATCAACGTATAAAAGGTAGGCAAGGTACCCTCCTTAGTTTCGTCATTGAGATAATCAGGCGAGGATATAATTGCATTAGAAAGACCAAAGCTATCAGCAATAACATGCGCATCCTTGATAGCAGGACCCAAAGCGGTAAACCTGACTGGACAGCTTCGGGTTGGGGCGAATCCCTGCGCCACCTGTCGTCATGAATGGCAATTTCATTGAGAGAACCGGAGTGACGGCCGTAGAAGGTATTGAGTAGCAGGGGAATATTGTACGGTGGAGTCACGAACATCTGGAACGTCAGGTTTACTCATACTGCTCCGCATCATCCACGCGATGCTATTGTCGCGGTTGACGCCACTATTATCAATTGACTTGCCTAAAACTGGGTTAAGCATGGGCTTTGGACCATATCATAAGTATATTCAAGTTTAAAGGAAGCATATTCAAGTGATGTTAATAAATCCACTTTGTTTCAAAACTCTACGGTGTTAATTGGAACAGCCAGATCTGGTGAGATCTAAGTTTCATGTGGTGAGATTCTCCAAGGTTGTGTATTTAAACAATAATGTGAAAAATCGGCTCATCTCTGTGGTCTTGGAGTTGAATACAGGGACATGCATCCATGGATGGATTTTGAGATCGCTTATGATGTCTCGTCTTACTGATGCCTGATAATCCAGGCAGCAACAATTTCCGACGTTCGGCCGATTTGCCCCTTTTCTCTTGTTTCTTCTCAAATACTGTGGATCTCGGATTGTATCGCCAAGGAGGGTAGATATCGAGGCTAACCTATTAAAGTGAGATATCAATTTGAAGAAAGGTCCATGGAACTCATGGGATCAACATTTGCCAACACCATTTCCACGGTTCAGTTTCAGGCCAAATCCTAGGCCTCGCTTGACTGAACGAACGATGGTGAGATGAAGAGGAGGTTGAAGAGGAGGTTCAGATAATGCTCAATCTTTGAATAGAAGTTGACCAGTCGAAAAAGGCCCTTAGAGCCCGGACCACGTCTCATCCCGTCTCACTACTCCCGATATGGGGTGTAAACGCCTAAACCATATCGAAGAGATGCTATATACCGATCCGAGTCGAGATGAAACTAGGAAACAAAGAACCATGGTAGACCCGGTGTAAACAGACAGACTCTGATCGACTTCGGTGTTTGTGGGAGATTTGAAATAGCAAACGGCGAGATATTGAAGGCGACCAACGGTGGCGCATATGGAAGAAAAATGGGCCGAAACCCGCGGCCCAGCAAATCGGTTACAGTGGCCATAATTTCAGGAGGGATCTGTGTGGTCTTTGGTGCTTTTGCTAGGGCTCAAGGGTCTAAATTAACAGCTGCCCAACCAAGAATTTCAATGTGCTGAGTGATATTGGCTTGCTTCCGTCACATTTGACCCCCGTCCAACCCTGTGCGGTTTAACCTTTTTGGGACGTGTCCGGCTACCTGCCAGGGGCAAAAGGGGCCTGAACGGAGTGAACAGGTAATCGGGTCATCGAACGCGGCCACCAGGCGGTGTCCGGGTTCCCGGGCGCAATGATAACCCGGGCGCAATGATACTTTTTTCAACCTAGCCATCTTCATTAATTCACCATTACCCCAGATCTTCATATTATGTCTCAAGAATTAGAAGACCGCATTATCAAGGCTTTAGAAGCATACCATGCTGCTAAGAAGCCCAAAATCGCGTCGATCGCGCGGGAATTTAGCATTCCATACCAAACCTTCAGAGGGCGAGTTCAGGGTCGGAAATCTCGAGCGGCCCAAACCCCAGGCAATAAAGATCTAGAACCTGAGCAAGAAAAGGCCTTAATTCTATGGATTGATACCTTAGATCAGGCCTTTTCTCCGCCATCAGCAGCGCGAATTCAGGGTGCTGCCTTGCAAATTATCTAGCGTCATGATCCTTCCCGAACCCTAGGAAAAAACTGGGCTTACGATTTCATCGCTCGTTTACCACCGCGCTTTCAAAATATTAAGCAAAAACCTATGGAAAGGGCAAGATATGAAGCTATTATACCAGGCTTTCTTATCACATGGTACGATCGCCTACAAATTACGATTAAAACCTATGGAATCACCGAGAAAAACCTATACAATTTCGATGAAACTGGGTTTAGAATTGGCGAAGGAAAGACTGAAAAGGTTGTCTCAGCCCGGGGCAATTCATCGAATTCTACCGGTGGGCAAACCGAATCGCTTACCGGTATTGAATGTGTCTCTGCGGATGGTTGGGTTATGCCGCTATGGTTCTTAGTGAAGGGCCAATATTATATAGAAAGCTGGTTTATCGAAACCAATCTACTAGATAATTATACGATCGTTCCAACCCTAAATAGTTGGACTGACGAGATCGTTAGCTTCGTATAGCTTCAGATCTTCGATAAATTTACGTCGTTCCGTGTTAAAAAAGGGGAATATCGTCTTCTTTTAATAGATAATCATAGTTCACATTTGACCTATAACTTCATTGAATTTTGCTGGCAAAAACGAATCATTCCTTATTGTTTTATTCCATATACGACACACGGTTGCTAACCTCTTGATGATACGCCCTTTCAAGTCTTAAAGCATTATTATAAACAGTCGAATAATAATGCTGTCTTCTGGGGTGGTGATCCGAAGTATAAGGCTGAATTCTTCGCCGGGATCCACGATATACGGACAAAATTATTAACGAAGCGCACTATTCGATATGGCTTCCGAGAAACTGGTATTTGGCCAATTAATTCGGACAAAGGCCTTGAGAAATTAGGCTTAGTTGACGATAGTCTTCCTAATATGCCTAGTTTTATCATTTATGATATTGCTTCCGGAACTACACCACCACCACCTTCAAGTTCACTACCAAATTCACCGCCGGCGACCGTGTAAAAGCTAAGAAAAGCGAGCACTAAGGTTATAAAATATATCCAAAATGATACTACAATTTCTCCGAAGGTGCGAGATAGTCTTTCTCGGATTTTGGCGGGTGGGCTCGCTCTTGCCGAGGTTGGTGCTCAATTCGCGGAGGACAATGTGCGGATTCTACGGCGGAAAAGGCAGTCGAATACTGCTAGAACAAAGCGCAGGCTTCCGGAACTAGGCCCTCGCCTAGTTAAGGACTGTAAAAAGCATATTTCCGACCGTGCCGACCGAGAAAGACTACAAATGTTCAACCGGTCGAAGAAAGCATGGCGGGACGCCGCTATTTTAAAAGCAATTGAGGACGGCGACATTGAGGATACAGGTGAAATTCAGGAGGATCCCGATACAGAAATGGCCCCAGAATGGATAGATAATCTTTATTATGTTGATACTACTGGGGACGTTATTTAAATTCAATGAATTAGATGGACAGGTTGGAAAAGTTATCATTGCGCCCGGGTTATCATTGCGCCCGGGAACCCGGACACCGCCTGGTGGCCGCGTTCGACGACCCGATTACTTTGCTGTTTGCTTTAATTATTAGTTTTACTCCGTAGTACTCCGTAGTAAGAAGAATATGCTTGAAAGAAGAAAAGATGTAGCAATTAGTATTTAATGAGTATGTATTTTAAAGATAGTGGATCTCGTATAGAAACCGTTAACTGTGATAAGAGGCAATATTAAACGGGGTAGAAGTCTGAGACTAGTTCTATTCTTAGGATACCATCTGGACTAAAATCATGGAGGAATATATGTTTCTTCATATAGAGTGTCTCTGACTCGATTTTAATTGTATACTCTAGTAACCTTATCTGTATATCATACCTATGTAAATTTTTTTTTGAAGTTGTTGCTATACAAGATCAAGCCTCCCCATAAACCTGTCAAGCCGCCCCAGCCACCCGACTCCTTTTCCCAAAGACTCCACGTGCCAAACATCAACCTCCTCTCTTCTCCATATTTCCTTCCAATCTTCCATTCCATCTTCAAGAACCTTCGGGGACCCGGTTATTCTCCGCGGTTATAATCCCCCCCTCAGGTCGTGAACTTGGTTGGTCCAAAAAAAAAAATAACCAAAAAAAACTCCTGCATCTGACCCCTCCTCGGCCCAATTTCAATCTGTCTCGTGTAGAGACAGAAATCTGCCCACCATGAATCAGGACAATTTCCCATTGAAATTCCGCCGAGCATCTAGCAAACTTAGCAAGGAAGCCCCTAGCTTCAGTTCGCGCATTCTTCGGAGTCATCAGAGCACCACATCGTTGAAACGCACCCCCTCCGCCCCCGTCTATCCACGTTCCTCTCCTAGCAACAGTCGCGAGCATAATCGATCACGATCCAACGCCCAATTCCCAGGCTCTTCCTCGTCATCTCTGGATCAGAACAGTGGCGGTCCATCGCCCTCCAACGACGAATCAAGTGGCTTCTTCTCCAATTTGACCTCCCGGTCTCGCACCCGCAGTTCTAATCGTTTTTCCTACAACGAGCAGAGCTCGGATGAATTGAACGGCCCTTACGAAACGCGGGGCATGCTTAGTGCATTGGATGAAAATAGCGCCGAGACTGATCCTCACTCCCAGCAAAAGCCCGGACTCCGCTCTCACCACACCAGCCCCGATACTCGCGGACGCCAATCACTCCGCCAGTCAGCTAGCTTCACCACTCTAACGCAACGGATGGATTCCTTCGCTCATCGTGAGACCGAAAGGCCTCCAAACGCTGTTAAACGATATTCTGGCGATAACAATCCTCCGGCCGCTCCCCGAACGAGACAGAGCAAAAAGGCGAGCTTCTCCAGATTCGTGGATAGTATGCTTGGAAGCCCCGGTCGCAATATGAAAATTTCAGCCCCCGAGAATCCGGTTCATGTCACCCACGTCGGCTACGATAACCAGACCGGCCAATTCACTGGTCTTCCCAAAGAATGGCAGCGACTACTACAGGAGAACGGTATCTCGAAGAAGGAACAGGAGGAACACCCACAGACTATGATGGATATCATGCGATTCTACGAAAAGAACACCCGTGGCGACAGCGATGATGAAGTCTGGCACAAGTTCGACAATGCGCAAGCTGCTCAAGCTGCGCAAGGCACCAGCCCAAGAGAACAAACATCGCCACCAGGAAGTCCACGATTCCCGCAAAATCATGAAAGCAGCTTCGAGAATCCACGATCGCCCCCGCCAATTCCTCGGGGCCCTCCGGCAGCCCCCTCGCCGGTCATGTCCCCTCCACTGGGCGGTATGGTGCCTCATCGTGCTCCTCCCAAACCGCCCACCGGGATGACCCCCTCCCGCCCTCCCCCTCAACCCCCAGTCTCGAATTCGTACGGAGTCCCGCAGCGAGCTCCTCAGGAGAATTATGCTCCGACATTTGGCACTCCAACCATCCCAGAATCCGAGCCATTGCCATCATCACCACACCGCAGCCGTTCCAGTTCCCGAAATGGCACCCCTGCACCCAACATCCCCAACATTCCCAATGTCATCGCATCCCCAACACAATACCAGCGGCAACAGGAGCAGGTCATGGCTGCGGCCCAGCAGACTTTAGAACGGAATCGCACCCAACGCCAGCAAGCACAGCAGCCTCCGGCCATCTCTACATCAACCAATGCTCCGGCACCAGATCTATCGTCTGGAGTGTCACCTACCACGCGCGCGCCACCCGCTGCTAGACCCAGACAGCGCCAGCAGCGTCAGAGCAGCGCCTTGGATATCCGGGAGCGCTTGATGTCAATCTGCCACCCTGGTGACCCCACGCAGATCTATTACAACTTTAACAAAATCGGCCAAGGTGCCTCGGGTGGTGTGTACACAGCGTATGAGCATCCTCACAACAACTGTGTTGCCATCAAGCAGATGAATCTAGACCTGCAACCCAAGAAGGACTTGATTATCAACGAGATTTTGGTCATGAAAGATAGCAAGCACAAGAACATTGTGAACTTCTTAGAGAGCTTCTTACATGGGCTGGATCTTTGGGTTGTGATGGAATACATGGAAGGTGGCAGTTTGACAGACGTGGTTACCTTCAACATTATGAGCGAGGGACAGATCGCAGCTGTTTGCCGAGAGGTGAGTACAGAACGATTAACCCCTTGTCAAGATAAAATCATGAGATGCTAACTACTTTGACTAGACTCTGGGCGGTCTCCAGCATTTGCATTCCAAGGGTGTCATTCATCGAGATATCAAATCCGACAACATCCTGTTGGCAATGGATGGTAACATCAAGCTGAGTAAGTTTCGCCCCCCGTCTGATGTCGAAATCATACTAACAATCTCTAGCTGATTTCGGTTTCTGTGCTCAAATCAATGACTCACAGAACAAGCGGAACACAATGGTTGGTACTCCGTACTGGATGGCCCCCGAAGTTGTTACTCGCAAAGAGTATGGCCGTAAGGTCGACATCTGGAGTTTAGGCATCATGGCCATCGAGATGATCGAGGGCGAGCCGCCGTACCTGACAGAGTCCCCGCTGCGAGCACTTTATCTGATTGCCACCAACGGAACACCCACCATCAAAGATGAGCACAATCTGTCCCCGGTCTTCCGCGAATTCCTTCACTTTGCCCTGAAGGTTGACCCGGAGAAGCGGGCGTCGGCGCATGACCTACTGAAGGTGCTTATTCCTTGTTCCTATCTCCCATTTCTTTGGCTGTGATAACTGACCTCTTGCCCTTTAGCACCCATTCATGTCTCTCTGCGCACCACTATCGCATCTCGCCCCCTTGGTCAAGGCTGCTCGTATCAGCCGCGCCCAAGAAAAAGCCCAAAAGGGAGGTGCCTGAAGATGATGCTGATGAATGACCACGTTTCTTTTCCTATGTTTCGGTTTTCTTTCGTCATACTTGATATCTCTTGACGTCTTGCTCAGATACCCCGTCACTCCTGATGTTTCTTCTAGATCCCGACGTGCACTACAGTACGTTTTTGGAATCCATTTATGTACCCATTCTACTTCTTTATTCACTTCTTCGCATCGATTGTCGATGACAATGACTCCATTCCATGAGCACGTTGCCTGTGATAGTATCTGTTTTGCCGTCCACTGTCTCTGTATTGATCTTGGTGTCTATGTAATTTCTTGTAGTTCTATTTGCCAATTTTGTTGCCGTTAGCTTATCATGAATACAAGCAGCTAATGAGCCTCGAAATCCACTTTTTAATTCTATAGTTAGGAAGTATGTGTGCCTAAAGTAGTGGAGATATGTTCAGCCACAGCCGATAAGTAAATGTGGGAAGAAGAAACGGAGCAGCCTACAGAGTACTCCATAGGGCGAAGTCCTAACTAGCGTGAAGAAAAAAAAATTAGACAAAAAGGAGAAGGAAAAGAAAAGTGAGAATCCCAAAGGCCAGGCAGACATAATATAGGAAAAATCTGTTCAACTTGGATAATCCAAGCTAATAATAACCTTAGCATTCTACTTAGCCCTGGAGGTACAACATACGAATACGGGTCTCTGGGCCATCGTCATATGCTGACTCAGGTGACGAGTTCCGCCCCGTACACATCAGGTACCCCCAACACTGTCTCTGATCATCCCCAAAGACCTGATTAACAGATACCCAGCGCTGCAATACCAGTTGCTTGTTATACCATCCCTTGGCAAGGTCATATCTCTGTGATATTCACACCGCCTGCATCAACCCGCAGCTTAGCCGCATCTTTTGCTGTCATCGACTCCCCGCATTCGATACTGGAGGACCACCGCTACGAGCTACATAACCTTTTTTTTTTTTGAAAAAGAGTGCTTTTTTAGACACGGAAGTCTAATTGGAATCTGTTACCGGAGTCTTGCCACGTGAAAAGAAGGCAAGCCGCCCGTCAGAAGCTGAGCAGTGCTGCCCGACTTCTCCAATAATCCACATACCACCCGACAATTACTTGCGACGGTCGGAGGACATACAGTCGTGATGTTTCGCGCACAACAGAATCACTTCGACGACGCCGTCGGTAAGCTACACCAGTCCCTGCTCCGCTAGATACATCATGCACCCCTGGAGCTGGCTAGTTTTGGAAGGCAGCTTCGGGAGCACATTGAATCTGCTCGTGCGATGTGTTTACTGACGCTATTTATTTCCGTATAGCCAAGGCGACGGACGAGAATCTGACCTCCGAGAACTGGGAATTTATTTTGGTGCGTTGTGCATGAAACTACATTGAATTGTTGGAATCACCACGGCTCTGGGACAGGACTGATTCGGCTTCTATGATTTAGGATGTCTGTGACAAAGTTGGCTCGGAGGAATCAGGGTACGTGGATAGCTTGGGCTTTTCAGTCTCGTCTAAGTTTACCTAAAGACCCGTTGCTGATTTTTGCTGTGATATAGTGCGAAGGAGGCCGTGGCTGCGATGATTAAAAGACTGGCCCACCGAAATGCCAACGTTCAGCTCTATACATTGGAGGTTCGTGGCCGGACACTGTGCTCCTGGAAGCACGAACAATTCCTTGGTTTATGGCTATAACTGACTTTTTTTTAGCTTGCAAATTCATTGTCGCAAAACTGCGGACTGAAGATCCATCGCGAGTTAGCTTCGAGAAGTTTTACGGATGCTCTACTACGCTTGGCGAACGATCGTGTAAGCATATCTCAAACCTTTAACTTCCCTCAAATAACAAATGTTAACCAAGGATTTGTCTAGAATACCCATCAACAAGTCAAGTCCAAGATTCTGGAGCGTATGGAAGAATGGACTGAGATGTTCGCATCCAATCCGGATTTTGGCATCATGGAACAGGCATACATGAAATTAAAATCTACAAGTAAGTGTTTGTTCTACGCCTTGAACATTGTGCTTGGCTGATTATATTATAGACCCGAATTTGCAGCCACCGTCGAAACCCGGAAAGCGTGAGATCACCGATGTTGATCGTCAGATGGAGGAAGAGGAATTGCAGATGGCCCTAGCCCTCTCGATTAAGGATAAAGCAACCCCGGCTGCTGCTGCTGCGGCAGCACCTCGAGCGGAGCCTTCGTCTGCTGCTGCTGTTGCGTCCGCGTCGGCCTCCACAAACCAGGGGGAGCCCGCCGAGAGTCAACCTGCTCTCTCAGGTACATCGGTAGCTACCGTGTCACGTGTGAGAGCGTTGTTCGACTTCCAACCGTCTGAGCCAGGAGAGCTTCAATTCCGCAAAGGCGATACCATCGCAGTCCTGGAGTCTGTTTACAAGGATTGGTGGAAGGGCTCCCTGAGAGGCCAGACCGGAATTTTCCCTCTCAATTATGTGGAGAAACTCCCAGACCCCACAGTTGGTGAGCTGCAGCGAGAGGCTCAGATGGAGGCGGACGTCTTTGGCCAGATCAAGAGCGTTGAGAAACTCCTGACCCTACTGAGCACCCGCAATACAGACCTCAATGTCCAAGAAAACGAAGAGATTACTACACTCTATCAAGCTACGCTTGCGATTCGTCCAAAACTCATCGAATTGATTGGGAAATATTCGCAAAAGAAAGGTAAGCAGCGAGTCGTTCGCTTTCCCATGGATGTCTTGCTTACATATGTCTAGATGAATTCACCCAGCTCAATGAAAAGTTCATCAAAGCTCGTCGTGACTATGAGTCCCTTCTTGAGGCATCGCTAGCCCAACCAGCACAGCCTCAATATGGACGACCTGCCCAGCCACAGTATGGTTATCCTAGTGCTGCACCTGGCGGATACCCCTCTGCCCCTCAGGCAGATCCTCGATATTTCACTCCCCGACCTCAAGGTCAGTAGACTTTAGAAATTGCCTACCGCATCCTAGTTCTAACTTGACTTGCCCAGACACCACGACACCCCAGGCAAATGCATACGCACCATACCCCGTCAGCGAGCAGACTATGCCGTATCGCCCAGCCTCTCACTCCCCTGATCCCCGCAATCAGGCTCAGACCAGCGCACCGCAGCAGCCTCCCCATGCCGACCCTTACCAACCTGTTAGCCACCGTCCGCAATCTACATATGACAATCCCCAAGAATTGGGGACCTCTGTCTATGATTCACCTATCGATCACCCTGCTCCTGCCCAGCGCCTGCCGTACCCCCCAACTGCTCAAGCCTCGCCTGCTGGCCACCAGCAATTCCAGCAGCAGCAGCAAGACTACTCGCCCTCAGTCTACCCCGCTGAGGAGGCATCTCAACTCCCGCCTGCTTCCACTGTTTCCCAGATCCCGCACCAGTTCCAGCAACAGCAACAGCAACAACCCCCGTATCCCAACTCTCCCGGCGCTCCTTCTGGTGCCCATCAACCTCCTCCGTCGCACCAGCCTCCCCCGGTACCCGGGGCAGCGCAGCAGCAACAGTATACCTCCTACACCCCGGCACCTCCCGCCGCAAGCACAGGAGAGTATCAGGCGTACCAGCCTCCACAGGGTGGGGCTGGGTCGAATCCAGCTTCCTTTTATCGGTAATTGATAGTTAGTCACGGCGACCCTCATCCAGTTAGTAGGAATAAAGGCCTTGACTGTGATTAATGTTGGGTTTGTAGTGTGGTATTCCAAGCAGTATTCTTCGTTTCGTTACCCCTCCTTTGCTAGACGTTTTTCTCTGTCATGTACCTAGCCAGCGGTTTAAATATGTTTTCAATGGTATGTTAATACATATGGACTTTTGATCTCTATATTTCCGTCTGTTAAGTGTTATACTAGTAATGCTTTATGGATGTCGTTCCTTGGACCCTGAATTTCCTAATACGGACAATGACAAACCAATGGGGAACATCTAAAAAGTGGACCAACCAGTCAGGACGAAAAGGAGGTGATCATCATCTTCATGCCACCATGATAGATTCCCTGTCTACAGAAATTCTGTTGACCATCCTTGAATGCTTGTCCCCGCTTGATCTTTTCTCTGCTATCAGAGCCTCGCCAATCGTATACCGCACCTTTATCGCCTACAAACAACATCTTCTCAGACATACTCTCCGCCAGGCCATCCACCCCGCATGTGGAGCGGACATTCATACCGCGCTGGATGCACAGAATATTCCCAAACTGATTAAGTCCGGCGAAAGCATTACCAGAGTCAAGGCAGAATGTTTCTCACTTTTTGCCACCGACCGCACTCGTCGGCGTCGAAATATCGACCAGTTCAGCGTGGATAATGCGAACCTCGATACCTTGTTTTATCTCCATGTCAACGTTGAACGCCTGATTGATAGCTATTGCCACTGGTCACTGGGCAATTTGACCTCGCACCATGAAAAACCAACACAGTTCCAAACAACAACCGTCCACCCAAGAGCGACGCTGTCATCTACCGAACAAGCCCGTCTTCAACGGGCGTTCTACCGATACGAAATCTATGCGAGATTCCAGCGTGTATTACATCTCCTGACCGACAAAAGCGGGGCCCTAAATTTCTCTCAAATTGTGTTGAGCTTCATCTCGCAATTCACCCCCTATGAATTCGAAGAGATTATCAGCGTACGACAATTCCTCGCTCAATTCATTAGATCGCTCTGCGAAAGAGTCGACGATGATGTCGTGGCTTCTTGTTACCTCCCTGATTCTGTCGGCGCCGGCGTCGAGAAAGAAGCTTCGGGAAATGCAGTATCAATGAAAATTGAAGGCCTTAAGGACCTTTCCTTCTTTGCGAAGTCATACCGAGATACCCACCACTTGGATCATGTGAAATTCCTTGCATCATGCGGCTTACCATACGTTTTTCGTCTGAGTCTTATGGAACCCCAAGCCCTCAAACACGCCATACTCAACTCATACGTCGAGTCGCGCAACAACACCGTCATGGACTTCTTTTTCCAGGGGGGCTATATATTGAATCGTGTGATGAGAAACAGAAAGATATTGTCCTTCGGGGTAAACTGGTTTCCATCCCCCGTGATGAAGTCAGCAGTTGCAACCTAGGCTGGAAATGGGGTACTAGCTTCCCCGAATTTGTCAAGCCTGATACCCCCGCTATGTTCGATTTGCGGAACCAGGGATATGTCTTCTGGGATCAAGAGCGGCTGCAGGAATCGGGTCTTGTAAATGAGCCATATGTGGTTCACGTCGGGACGAAGTACTTCCCGCCTGGCCACAGGGGTCCGTTTCTAGGGCCGAGTGTTGAGGAGAGGCTTGGTGGATTAGGGATAGATACTGAGGTCTTGAGGGAATTGGAAGATGAATAGATGTTTTATTTTATTGTGTAGACTTAATGGTAGACAGTTGAAGACCGAATGCCGAGTTAATGATAGAATCCCTCATTGGCAGTCGATCCTCAATTATACGTAAATCAGGTTCAACAATCGCTTGTAAGTGTAGTGAGAACGAACATGAAACATGAAATATCAAAGGAGAGGGAAGATAATACGAAGTGTGAGATAGATATTAGTTGTTCTCGTTAGCATCGTTCTCCTTCTGCTTATCCTTCTGCTTATTCTTCTGTGCCCGACCCTGCTTCTTCCTCTCAATGCCTGCATCAGGAGTAGCATTTTCCTGGCTGCTTAGATGCGACTTGAGCCACCAAAAGCGCCATCGGGCCTTTTGCACCGTGATTCCCTCACATTTGGCAACGGCAGCGTAGTCGATCTATAGCACGATGAGTAAATGCTAGAGAGCTTAGAAAAGGGGATTCAATATGACCGACTCGGGCACCTGACAGAGTAAGGCAGTGCAGTAGGAACTTGTGGTTTCCATCAAAGCTTGCCGCATCCCGTCGCTGTTTGGTAGGGGCCTTCTTGGGCTGAGGTGTATTCCTCGGAGTCATGGCTGAGTGTTGAAGGATGACTCTTGTTTGTGTGTAGATAAAATGGTTGTAGGGAGTGGTTCTTCTTTGTGGCTCTGGGAAAGGTTGCGGGGAGAAGAGAACTAGAAATGATAGAAGAGGAAAGTTATAGGCTAAGTTTGCCCAGGTTCAAACACTAGCGACACACTCATCTGATATAAACAGATATCGAAGCAAGTAGCTTTGACTACGTGTATACCGAGTCTGAAATGTACGAAATTTCTATAAACATATCCTTCATTTAAAGCATTAACCAATTCGTGCCCGAAGATAGCCCTAGAGTTCTCTCGCCCAAGTTATCGAGTGAGACTAGCTACTGCATTGGCAGAGGGCATTTAAGCGAGATAGAAATTGGTATGAGACCTGGCAGTCTTACCCCACAACCTGTTGATCCTTTTATTTGCTTCTTTTCTACCCTTACAAAATAGTATAGACAACATTCCAAAGTATGTCCAGCGTTATACTACATGCTATTACACCGGGTGATATCAAAACTTCGTAGTATCAATCCAAGAAAGAGTTGCAGGAACTGTCACTGAGCCATTGATAGGCAAGGCCTCAGCTATTAAATTGTCAGTTGAAATCGCTTGAAATGGACAATGGAAGGGAACCAACCTCCGCTGGTGGTCAAGTAAAGAATATTATTGTCATGTTGCAGCCGACCAAAAGCACCAGCTGTCACACCCGCCAGAATGGTCGATGTGTTGCTACCGGCGACAACCTGGGCAACAGACGACTTGGGGTAGAGGACGCTGAGTTCGTCCATCTGGTTCTGTGCGATGAAGGCAAGGCCATTCTTCTTAAATATGAAATCATCGGGCCTGGGCACATTGATGACAACTTCAGATTTACCCACTGCGGTGCCTTTATTCGTGATGCGAATACGGTTTAAGGTGCCGACAGCAGTATTAGTCCAGTAAAGATATCCATCTCTGATCTTGATGCCATTGACTCCAAGATTGGAGGCTGGATTTGGGACAGCATCAAACTTCATCTTCTCCTCGTTGATGGCAATATCGTAAGCTCCCGTTCGTGTGTCAACATGATAAACCCAGCCATTGTAAACATCGGCAACAAGAATTGAGGTTTCAGATAGGGTGGTAGCGCCATTCAGATAATCCGAAGTGGGAATATCGACTAGCTTGGAGACAATTGCCTTGGATTTCACCTCACCTGTCTTCTTAGAGACGGTGAAATTTCTCATGTCGATTTCCCAGATGCTATTGACTCCCGACGTGAGCACAAAATTATGGTCGAAGAAGCCGGAGGTTACCACGTAGAACACATCTTGACTCGTCTCGGATATGCCGAGACAACCCTTGTAGGTCGTCGAGTTCCAGGAGGTAACTACAATAGGCTCACTAGCACCCGTTGGATCAAGCTGGAGAACTTCAGGGGTATCCAGGCGGGAGACAAGAATTTGGCCATTGGCACGCACCGCGAGGTTCTCTGCCCAGGTGCCATCGCCGAAGTTGTAAAGAACATTAACATCAATGGAGGGGAGAGCAAATGTGGTAGGTAGTAGGGAGACCGCAGTCAAGGCTAAGGAGAGAAAGCGAGTCATTTTTGGCAGCTGCGGTGTTTCCTGAAAGAGAAGATCTAGAGGGTATATATATGCATCATGGATGGACGAGATGGGAGTGTCATTAAACCAGGCAGGTCACCATGATCGCCCGTGGGCATGTGATAAGTTAGCTGTTTAGTGCATACTCCGTAGTAAGCTGCTTAATGTGGGTAACACCTCATCGGGATAGAGAGCAAAAAGGAGTTAGTACAATTCTTAGTGCATTGCTTACGAATGCTTATAATATAGATAATAGGTATCTTTTTAAATGAAGGATCACAACCCTGGTCTAGCTTTCTCACCAAAATATATTGCCGTTACAATATCATCCTGCATCCATTGAACAAGAGACTTCTTGACAGGAAACAATACTAGATGCACAATAGCTATGTTACAAAGACTCAAGTTTCACATGGACGAACTGGTCCCAGATATGATGACTCTACAGAACAGCCTACACTGGAAATTAAGATGACTTTTCGCCTTCCCCTCTAAGGCCACGTTCACGAGTTTGTTAAAAGCGTTTGTAGAGGTGCAGGGGTTCTTTATTAGTGGCCTCAGGCCTCCTGTTTCCCCCTCCCCCCCTCCCCCTTCTTTGATGTCTCACTTCTGTTCTGCCTCCAGGGCTTTGTTCACGTTGTTAGTAGCTTCACGTCACACTTCCCAGCTCCTTTCCACTTATCCAATATCAACCATTCCAACCAACTCTCCTTGAAAGTATACCCACTATTATGGCACCAGAAATAACGAGCTGGGATGATCTCACTCAAGTGTGGGAAAAATGCAATGACGAAACTGGGGAAACTCAACAAACATCTTTCGCGTTGTTTGATAGCAACGAAAGCTTCTATTACGGCATGGTTGAAAGTCCCAAATCCGAGATTACCTTTGAGCAGGTCACAAGCACCCTCAAGAGTGTTCCCGATGAAGAGATATTCACACGGTGGCCGGCTTCCGGGATCGAGTTGATGCAAGCCCCAGCGACACTTATCGAGAACTTCTACATCAAGCGACCAAATCCAGAAATGTACAAAGTTATGAAAGAACACGATGCATTGTCCCAACTCTCGGCATCCTTGCTAGCAGAGGCTAAAGTCCTAGAGTCGCTATCCCAGCATCCGCACCCGAACATAATCCGCTATTACGGTTGTCGGGTTCTCCGTGGGTACTTTATTGGACTTGTAATTGAAAAGCATCCACACGATTTGTACAGTTATCTTAAGAACCGGGTCGGGACAATTGACAAACGGCGTTTCATTCCTGCCCTCGAGTCCTCTCTCCGCCATCTTCATGTACATGGATTAGCCCACAACGACCTGACTCCCCGCAACATTCTGGTGAGCAAACAAGGCATGCCTGTTTTGACTGATTTCGCTGGATGCCAGGCTATCGGAACATATTTGAAGCATGTTCGAGGGACTCCAGGGTGGATAGATGGAGAAATCAAGGACCACAATACATCGAGTAAGGAGCATGATGTTTCTGCTTTAACCAGGATCAGTAAGTGGTTGGACAAGCCAGTGTTTGATCAATGATTCATTCTGTGCCCCCGGAGAGTTGAACATGGGTTTGTTGTACGTCTAGCAGTATCTCGGCACTTATTTATCAAATCTATAATCAACAACCGTTCCCATCTTTGTGGAATCAAACGTCTTCTGCCATTTAATTAACCCGATCCGAAGAACCAGTCAGACACAATGACCGCAATTACCGTCACCTACCATGGATTAGCTGATATCTCTCAGGGAAAGCGGAGGTCTCGTCTTACCAGTGAAATATCCACACCGGGGCTCACAATGAGATCCAAGGCAGGGCGATGATCTCCTCCGCGCTTCATTCTCCTCAAAACCAACTTCTCATTGTGGGTGATACTCTCGCGTAGTTCGGCAATCCTCCTGTCCCCATCCACAATATCAAAGAAGGCCAACGCCTCTCCATGCTTCTTAACTGTTAGCCTGAGCTGTTTATCCTCATCACTTTTTCTATCTTCCGCAGCGCTATTCCGAAAAGAAAAGATCAAGTTGATACCATTCCAAGCCAACTTCGGTGTTGCCTTGGCTGTTGTCGCGTCGCTGATTTTGCTCCCGGGCAAGGTAACGACCCAACCCAAAGCATTTGAAAATGGCTTCGTGTGGATATCAAATAACGGTAACCCAGACGAATCACGGAGTTCTCGACACGAGCGATCATTGTATTTTCGGCCCGTTGCTGTGAATACGGGAGAGCCCTGTTCGTCCGAGATCTTGTATGCATGATCCGACTTTTGATCACCATGCGGCTTAAGTAGTAGCATTGTCTTCTCCGTCGCAATATGTTCCAATCGAAAGGCGACTTGTCGCTCTGGTGCTTTCAAGGCATAGCGTGGTGCGGAGCTTTTGGATGTGATTCCTCGGTTCATCCGCGCATTGGTGTATGTAGTTCCAGACATAATTCCGCATACATGATAAATTTCCAAGAGTTCTTTTGTTGCAATTTGGGAGCTTTTTATTCCTGGGGTGTTCCATTTACGTTCTAGCACTTCGTGATATGACGTGTTAGCTACAGTCGGGGCGCCAACGCCCGGTGACTTCAGGGGTGAACGCCCAGTATAATTCACGCACTCTACATCGTTAATCCATTACCTGATCTCAACTCAGTTCACGATTATTTCAATTATAGCGTTGTTAGTATGTCTCGGGTTTGGTGAAAAGGTGGATGCCAATGAAGCTTAGCTTGGGGGCCAATTGATCAATATGTTAGCAGACCTCGTTCATTGTAAGTCATTATTTCATAGGTCGACTTTAAAGGCAGATGAATTTGGTTGACTCTTATTTAGGGTCTAAACTTGAAGTACATGAGACTTGCTTCTCCGCAATCTTTAGTTGTTCGTCGTACTCTAAGCTCAAGTGGCTTAATTGAAACACCCTACCATCATCGTAGATAAAATAGTACCAGATCAAAATACATGCCATTTTCAATCAAATTATTTTAGTAGTTGCTGATATTATAAAGAGCTTGGCCGAGATATTAACATGCCATTCGATAGATCTTTCGGCCATTTGTCCCGAGTATTTCGGATCTCGTCCGACAACTTGACAAGCGGAAAGTCGTTCGTTTGTTCAATCTGTACATTCTCTCACCTCTTCTTTATTTTTAACTAATTTTTCTGATCAAAATGTCTGTCCACCCTATACATATTGCTGTCCTTGACACCGACATTCCTTGCTACCCTGTCTACGCCAAAAGAGGATTGTACAGCTCACAATTCAACGTTCTTCTCACTGCCGCCGCAAATCGCATCAATGCAAGCGAATACCACAAAAACAGAAGCTCTCTAAGTGTTCACATTACTGCATTCGACGTTGTGGGCGGGTCATTCCCACATCTCGAGTCCTTACGAGTCAGCCCTTGGTCACCGACGGAAAATAGACCCCCTGGCTTCCCAGGTCCTGTCGACGCAATTCTGGTCACTGGAGCCACAGCAGCAGTATATGATAAATTGCACTGGATTCCAGCCTTGCGATCTTTTATTGCGAGGGTGTATGCCGACTATCCTACGGTTAAAATATTCGGATCTTGCTTCGGACATCAACTTATAGGCCAAGCTCTCCTCGCAAGTGACAAAAGCTACACGTCGCAAGGATCGTCATTTAAGCTATCTGTCGAAGCTTCATCTGATGGCCACGAAATTGGCATGCACCCTATCCTCTTGAACCCGGCTTTTATCTCCAACTTCCCACCTCTAGCTCGGTTCACTCCAGAGAAGCCATTCCATATTCAGATCATCCACGGCGATGCCGTGATGTCTTCACCAGAAGATGAACTTGTTCCTCACGGAAAGGGGACGATGATGCCTGAACCGTGGCTCAATATCGGAAGCAGCCTTAAATGTCCAATCCAAGGCCTCTACAAGCCTGGCCATGTTCTCACATTACAAGGTCATTTTGAATTCGATGCATTCGCAACTGCTGAGCTCTGTTATAAATTTGCCAATCAATTTAACTGGCCTGCAGACTTGCTTGCCTCGCACCTAGAAAACATCAGGCGTTCTGTGGTCCCTGGGAAAGATGATGACGACGACTCCAAGGTCGCGGCGGAGGCGGTCCTTTTGTTTTTCGCGGGGGAAGACTGGGATTCTAGCACAGATATCAATTCATCCTCGTGTTGATTGCATTATCCAAGCATGAAAAGGGGGTCGATTCTCTTCGACTGCGGGGCCCTCGGAGGTCCAGACCGATGTCCCCGCAGCCTCGGATGAACACCCGATCCATACAGTCCGACGTTTTCACACTTGTCACTGAAACGAGACTATCAAATCAATATCAATATCAGCTGTATGCGGTGTTTTTACAACAATGGCAGGCTCTAATCCACGATCTACTAACGCGTAAGTATGCAATGCATCATCTGCTTCTCCGCTGTGGTGAGTCATGTATGATAACAGCTGGACAGATGCGAAACATGTCGAAGACGCAAAGTAAAATGTTCCGGTGACAAGCCTTGTCGCGCTTGCGTCAAACATAATTGGGAATGCACTTTTGGTCATTCCGGTCGCAGACGGTTTTCTGAAGCGTATGTTCATGTGTATTATTGGCCCTAGGCAGTCTTGCTAACTATCAACCAGCCAAGTGAAACATCTCCTGGAAAAAGTCCGAAACTATGAAGAGCAGCTCGGCTCTCAGTCTGTAGGGGTTCCTGTCTCTTCATTCCCTTCCCCAGTAGCACCAGATGAGACCCCAGGCCGTCAATCCTCTGCGCAACCATGTTCTTTAACACCTGGGAACCAAGAGCCCCCAAATCAGGGGCAAGATGAGCTATTATATCCCGATAACGATCCTGCTATCAGTCCAGGTAACTTGACATGGCTTTCGTCACCCTAGTCCGCTTGCGAATATAACTGACTTTACGTGAAGCAACGGATCTGACTTCCGGCCCTGCATTCGAATCTCAAGTTAGATCGCTTCTTGACAAATCGCATTCCAGTGACCGCAGTTTTCATGGATCAACCTCAAATTTTCAATACCGAGCTGATCGATTACCTCAGTGGACTTCGGTCAAAGAGCTCGTTGACAATGTTGCCGGAGTATCTTTCCCGTCTTTGGAGGAATCACAGCACTTGCTTGATCAATTCCTTTTTTATCTTGGCGTAAGCCAGCACTTCTTTGACCCACGATCTTTCTCAGACGATCTTATGTTGCTATTTCAAAGCCCAGAGACAAGGCAACAACAGATAAACTCTCCTTGGTTTACAGAATATCTTTTGGTTATGGCCATGGCAAAGCTCATGGATGTAAAGCATCCAACATCACAGACACCTGGAGCAGATTTGTTCGCTGAAGCCTTGAAGCGTCTTCCTCCGTTGCATCAAATGGGCGGGGAAGGTGTTGTTGCTGTCGAGATACTGACACTGATTACTACATATCTGCAGTGGTGTGACCGGAAACATGATGCATATCTCTACGTACGTTATGCCAGGCCCACAATGTTATTTTACGGTACCATTAACATGTGGTAGATTGGACTCGCACTGCGACTTGCTATCGCTCTTGGGTGCAACCTACGGGAAGTCGATCAACGCTGCCTCCCGTCCCAGAGTGCCCACAGATTAAGACTATGGTGGACAGTATACATGCTTGACAGGTATGTCCTTTTGGTAACTTTGGGAGTTTGCGACTTAGCTTACACTTTCAGACGTCTCTCGTCGGGCCTTGGATTGGCTGCAGGGGCTGATGAACGACAGTTATGCACTGAACTCCCACGGAACGCGATGGGATTCCAGTCACCAATTGCCCTTGCCATCAATGTCCGTATTGCGCGTGTCACTGATGATATAATGTCGAGTGAGCCACCTAGATATACCCACCAGACTCTTGACTCTGTACTAATTGACTCACACCAGCTCTATATGGTAATAAGTCAATCACCCAACTGGAATTAGTCCGAAAGATCCAGCAAATTCTCCAAGAGCTACATGACACGGGCCGATCATTCCCTAAATCTTTGACGCTGGACTTCAATCGACCCTTGCAATTGGTAACTCGCACAGGTGCATCATTGTACCTAATGCTTTTCCAGGTGAGATTGCCCCAAGCAGAGTAGATTGTTAGTTTTTTTTCCTGATCTTTATCAGGCCATCATCCTATGTACACGGCCAATATTACTTCAAAGAGCTCGGTTCCGAGTTCAAAGCCAACAACAGCCACAGTCGCCTGATCCAGCGCCGAGTATGCTGCTGCGTCTCTGTGATACATGTAACGAGGCAGCCACCAGAAGTCTCGCAATACTTGAATCACTTCGTCGCCAGCAAACCATCCGTGAGTCTTTCCAGTTCTCTAGCCAACGGACCCTTGCTTCCATATTAAGTTTTGCATGTTTATCAAAACCAAGAGCTAACACATCACCCCAAGCCCGGTATGGATTTTTTGATCTGGACGCCACATTCTCTGCTGCATTTGTGCTGGTCATGGTAGGTTTCTTAGACAAATCACAGACCCAACCACCGTTGGCACTTGATCAAGCATCCAAAGTACTCCAGTTTCTATCACAGTCCGGCAATCTGGCTGCCGAGCGACGACTGCAAGATATTGCACAATCATATTTGCACGTCTGGCCGGATCATGTTTTCAATGCAAATGCCTCGCACAGCGATGCAGCCTCCCGAGACAAGACCCAGACATTTACAGCAAGTCCAGGCTCAAGACAGCATGCGTTGGTGACTTCTTCAGACCCCCCACCATATATGGCTGTGGCTTCAAGTAGTCGGAGTGATCACCAAGATGAGATCAGATTACTTGAGCCATGGTCTAATATGGATGTCCCAGACGCAATGTTTGATATGCAGGGAGACTGGAACCTAGATCTTTCTGGGGAAGCAGAAGGAATTTATTCCAGTTTCCACAATCCGACATTGCCACTAACTGGGGTTGACTACATCGACTGGTTGGAGATTGAGAAAGTATTTAATGGTCCATAGGCGGATAGAAAAGAATATCTCTTGCGATACCCAAACATATTGTGGAGTTAATAAAATAATGTCATACACATTAAAGAACTTGCAGCCATCTCCTATCACAGTCTAAAAACTCCCATGCGGATAATTTCATCGGGCTTGAGTGTTTCGCTGGTGTACTATATATCGCACGCTTTTTACCCATCATCACTTTTATAGCCGTTATAAATCAGATTTCAAAGCCATACTCACCTTCATAACCAATCCGATTTGTTTCACTTTTTGATATCTCATTCAAAGAAAAGAAAGTTCTTTGTATCACTACACAATATTGAATCTGATTCTCCGCTTTGAAGCCAGTCGTGGCCACACATGCACCTATGCATATGCAGGACGGTATAAAAATAGCTATCTTCTCCTCTGATGAGGCCCAAATTCATATGCTTCTGTTGTTGAAAAGAAAAAGAATTTCCCGCACATAAACCATTGCTCTGGGTGAT